TAGCTTAACTTGAAGTACATGAGATCATTTTGTATTATTGTGCAAAAGGTTTTGGAAAATGCAGGTATTCTGAAGTTGACAATGGTTTAAACATGTAAGCTTGTGTGGCTATGGGAAGCTAAAACCTTGGAATTCATAGAAAATCTCAGCCATGATAAGAAGACCCAAAGAGATTGTCATTGATCAAGAAGTTGGTAATGGGCACTGGCGGGTTTCAAGAAAGGAAAGAGTCAAGGTTCTGTTAAGCTGAGAGATACGGAATTGAGATTGTTAACTGGGGTGAATTGGTCAAATGTTCTGTACCCAATATGAAACCGAGTTCCATCGAGATCAAAAGGAGATAGAGTTCCTTCGAAGAATAAAACACACTGAATTGCATAATTGCATACATTTTAGACATGATTAGGATCATAACATTCATAATTGCATGATGACTTAAGCAGTTACAGGTTTCCCAGGGATAGTTGAAGATATTGAAGCATCGAGATGAACATAACTGGTTTGGAGATTTTGAAAAAAATGATGTTTATACGAAAACTGAGCTAAAGCAGATTCAAGTATCCAATGGTTTCCAGACAAGTTTTCGCGATGGAGATGGATTTTCAGAAATTTTATCAAATTCTAAATTTTTGAATATAATATTTTCAAACATACATTAATGATTGGTAATGTTTGATTTTCAGGTTGGACCTTCGAAACAGGTCAATCTTAAGCCATCACGGAAGAGTAGTGAAGCAAACCATCTGTAAGCCTTCACGGTAGATTAGTGAAGCAAACACATTTTATGAAGATCGAGTCCTATACTCTCTGAAGGAATAGGGAGCGGACACGTTTGTTAAAGATTGAGTCCTATACTCTTTGAAAGAATAGGGAGCGGACCTGTTTATTGAAGATTTTCCGAGTTCTATACTCTCTGAAGGAATAGAGAGCGGACCCGTTTTATTGAAGATTGTTCAAGTCTTATACTCTCTGAATGAATAGAGAGCAGACACATTTTATGAAGATTGTTCGAGTCTTATACTTCCTGAAGGAATAGGGAGCAGGCTCATCAATTGAAGATTTTTCAAGTCTCATTTATCAAGACAAATTCGATCATCTTTTGATCTTTGCCCTATTCTCGTTACACGACAATGAGCAAAGAGGGGCAACTGTAGATGCTCGATTTATCCGGGGCTAAGTAGGAGCAGACCCGAAGCAGAGTAGTTGGAGGCCCAATCCAATGACCAAGCCCAGTCCACGTGAAATCCTAAAAAACTAAAAAACCGGTTATTGGGAGTTAACCAAAGCAAAGTGGAGGTGAGGGTCGGTTCTTAGGCATTAACCATCAGATACAGAGAGAAAAAACACGGACACAGAGGGAGATTAAAAAAAACAGGAACCACCACGAGAAGAGAAGAAACAAAGAACCCAATTAACTATCAACAATTCCACAGTGTAAACAGGATACAAGAAAATAGTAGTGTAATCTTATAATTCAAAAACAGATAAAGCAGTAAAGGTACGTTTTTCCGAGGAATTCTTCTTCAATTTCTTTTATTTTTCAGTTTGTTTTCTTTGTTGTTTCGTATGTCTGCGATTGTTATTTAAAACTGAAAATTGAGAAGGGATGGGGAAACAATTTGAGTGGGCTCTTAAGCATTCATCTTTCTTCAGTAAGTCCCATTCAAGATCAATACAAAGCACTAAAAGAAAGAACTAAGCATTTCTCACATTTTTCTGTTTTGGAAAAGAAATAAAAGTAATTCAATCAATTCTCTTACCCATATCCGATTCATACAAGAAATAACACCAATGAGAAATCCCTTTTTCATTTTCAAGGGCATTTTCCTAATATAGTTTCGAACCAGAAAATGGGAATAGAAAGTTAGGGTCGTTTACCTTGGCTTCTGTTGACGGCCAGAATTAAGGAGGGAACCATCTTGAACGGTGGCCGACTTTATTAGGCTCGATTGTGTAGAGTTGTAGGACGAGAGGCGGTGATGGCGAACTATGGTCGAAAGAAAGGTGGCCACCAAAGTATGGTGGCCAAGCAATTTAAAACATGACCGAGAGATGGAGGGGGTTCATGTGTTGAACGGTACTGTGTGTGGCTGAGGGAGAGATGGAAAGTGGAGAGAAGGGGAGGAAGCTGAACATGTTCCACATGAATTGTGTTTTTTAGTTTAGGTTTAGGTTTAGTTTTTTTTGAGTAAATTAGTGTTTTAGCCATCAAATTTTTAAGGTAAATGTGTATTAGGTCCTTATATGTTTGGTTTATTTTTGCGTTTTAATCACTTCCAGCACTGTTTTTTGAATTAACCTTTTGTATTTGTCCTAATTTAGTTATTTTCCAGTTTTTAGTTTTATTTATAATTTTGTTAGATTATTTGGGTGTAGATTCCTCATTTATGTGCATGTTTCATTTAGATCATTACTTTAGTTTTAATTTGTATGTCAAATTTTACATTTAGTTAAATTTAGTCTTAATTCTAATATGTATATACACTTTTTAAATTTTTAGTTTAGCATGTTATGTTCTTGTTTTTATATTTGAGTCATATTTGTACATTATAGGATAGTATGCATGGTTTATAATTTTAAATTTAGAAATACATGTGTATAATTTTTTTTGTATGTCACGTTGTATGACCTTTTTTATTTTGTTTAATTAATTTTGGTATGACATCCACTTTTTGCATAATTTGCATGATAGCCTCACGTGCATAACTCGACTTATTACATAATCGGACTAAGGGTAATACCTTTTTAATTTAAAATTGTTTTAAGTGGGCAGTCATAACTGATTTGAGGTCCGCTTTTAATGATTTTAAAATAAAAGTGTATCTCATTAGTGACGCCTAAAAATTGATCCATCACTCTAAAATTTGGGAACGAAAGAAAAAGAAATGTTCATTTATTTAAATTTATCGAGAAAATGTTGTTATAACTTTTAAGATATGGTCTCGATATTTGTAAATAATCGAACATTCTTTATCTTTCTAAAACGATTTGGTAATTTTAATTTAATTATTTTGAGTGCTTTTGAATGTTTTAAATTTACATTTTTATTTTATGGGATCAAAAATCAAAATAAATTCTAATTTGTAAAGTTCATTGCAAAGACGTTAATTAATCGACTAGGTACCGATTTAGGGCATTGTGGGGGTGCTAATCCTTCCCCACACGTAACCGACTCCCGAACTCGGATTTTGGTAACGCAGACCTCAATTTGTTGTTTTAATTAAAGCATTTTTGGGTGCCCAATCACACCGTAATCAAAGATTGGTGGCGACTCTTCGAACCGTATTTTTCGATCGTAAAGGAAATTCAAAATTTTTTGAAACGAGAGGTCTATTAAATCGCATCTGTTTTTAAAATAAAAAGAGACAATTAAGAATTAATGTGGTTTTCAAAATCTCACCTCTTTTCACCTTTTAAGAAAAAAATCGTTTCGACACATTCAACTGATAAAATCATAAATAATAAAATGATAATTCTTAAATATTTGTTTTGAATTCAAATATAAACTTAAATCCTGAGAAATTATCTTATGTCCGTCCTTCTAAAGAATGTTGACTAGATCACCTTTTGGGAGTTGTTGTTAACTGGATCGTTATAATTTGTCACGTCGAACATCGTCATATGCCCTAAGTCATACCCATAAATTCAGCCTTGATTCCAGGAAAAAAACTACATAACTCTTTTAATGATATTTCCTGAAAACTAAAGTCCTACACAAAATCAAATAAAAACAATCCAAATCAATGACATCAATGAAACAATAAGGAGTAATTATTAACAAAATAATTGCAAAATAAATCACTCATCAAACTGTAATATTAGAAAGTCAAAATTCCAGCAACATATTAATATTAATACCTATCAATATCATTAAAATTAGAAGATGGATATTTGATCGAATGGTAAAATAAAAAATTTAATTGAAGACTCGCATTTTATTATTTTAACTTATTTTTTTTAAATAGATAGAGTGAGATAAGTTTTGATCCAAATATACTTATTCGAGTTAAAATAAAAATAAATATTTAAAATCTTGTAATAGTATAAGTATATTTCAAGTGAGAACTTATAAATTTAGGACGATATATATTGAAAACATTTTTGAAACAAAATATGAGAAATGCAAAACAATTTAAGTTTTATAATTTATTGTTTAAAGTCTCAAACCTATCGCTAGAAATTATTTTATTTATAATTTAATTTTTTAAAATCATATATATTTGTTCGATTCTTATAAACTAATTATTTTTATATTTGAACCGTCCTAGCTCAATTGATAGAGCGCGTGACTTTTAACCATGTGGTCGTGGGTCTGATTCCCACAAACGGCGTTCCTTTTCAATTTCTGGGTAGAGGAACATGCGTTGTGCTTGTCGCCTAAAGCCCATAATAAATGATTCGGGCCCATTTTACCTACAACCTTGTTTTAACCACAAAAAAGATTCTGAAGGAAAGTTATACATATATATATATATATATATATATATATATGTATATGAAGAATTTTTCGGACCAATTTAATTAAATCAAATCATGAATAATTATATTATTTTTTTAAAAAAGATTTTACAAGTATTTAAAGAACGTTCATTTCTTAAAAACATATTTAATCAATGCGATTGCCCTATAGGACAAAGAAACAATTGCTTTTCAAATCTTATCATAGATATAGCGCTACACCAACTTCAAATCGTTGTATTTGGTAAGAATGATATAAGGATTTTTTAATTTTAATTTTTGTCTATTTCTTTTTATAATATAACATATTACAATATGTTTTTAATTTAAACAGGCTAAAATCTAAATTCAAGTATTAATGTGAACAAAAATCCAAGAGAAGAGGAAAGATATTTGGGTCCCATGAAATTACAAGTTTTTATTATGTTTTGATTTTCCTTTGAAACATATTGAACGACTTGAACAACCACAAGCAGAGTGTATTATTTCATTATAGCTGTAAAAATGGAATTATTGTATGACCAAGAGCTGCGGGCTACATGTTTTCTTTGATTTGCTGCCGCTTCAGCTTTTTTACCATCACCTAGATTTCTTTTACTATTACCGCCTGCTTCATTACAATCCACACCCAAAACAAAACGTAACATTCATGACTTAACCGAAGATTAGTTCCATAAAAGAAAATTACCAGTGTCACACTTCACTTGGTGACTTTCCTATCTATTTTTCCTTTTACCACTTCAAATTTTCCCGAGAAAATTAAGGAAAATTGAAGGGCCAGAAAACAAAGGTAATATTCTATATATAAAAAATTATGAAGGGAGGGGTACTGTGATTTGTGCTTTGCGTTTCAAACGCGGAAATTCTTTCCGGTGAAGGTTTGGCCGAACTGCCAATTAGCTGGCGCAACGTTCCAGGAGGTGGAGGTCCTTCTGTCACTGCCGGTGACCCTAAACGAGAGTTGCTGGCCGACGAAAACGGCGTCGGACTGCCAGTTCTGACCCCAGTTACGGCTCATGCTCAACCAACCGGTGTTGGTGCCTTTGACGCTCACCCTCACGATATCCCCTGCACCCGCAACGTTGGTCACCAAAACCAAGTTGAAATAACGGAATCCATTGATAGTGAATCTGATTCCACCTTGCTTTCGGCAAGGTACTCTGTAAAAAGGAGATAATGTCATTAAATAATAATAAAAATATACGTAGTACTAAAAATAAAATGAGTTAATTGCTCATTCTATAAAACGTTAAAAATAATATAAAATTAGAAGGGCAATAATAGAAATTAAGCTTTTTCTTACCCATCGTGAATTTTGTCGTTTTAAGAGGGAAGTTTCAGCCTTAATATACGACTAAGGAAAAACGTTATTGATTTTATTATTATTTTTTAACAAAATCGATAAAAAATTAACTAAAATATTATTATTTTTATTTAAAATATTAATATTTTTTAACATTTCCGATAAAGTGTACAATAATAATAAAATCGATAAAAAAATAATATTTTAAATAACATTTTACCGATTATGTTAACAAAACTGATAAAATATCTAATAATAATAAAACTGATAAAAATAATAATGTTTCTAATAATTTTTTACAGATTTTTCATAAACATTACCGTAAATTTTTAAAGGTGAGTGATTAAAATAAAAATATAACATAAAATATAATTTTAAAATAAAAAAAATTAAATGATCAAAACGGAACAAAAATAAAACGGAACAAAAATATAACTGAGGCACTAAATATAGAGTTTACCCTATAAAAACACTGTTTGCTTCCGAGAAAACAGAGAACATGCAGTAATGAAATTCCCATTTTAACCCAGATTTAAGAATGAACAGCTCAATAAAACCAAATGAAAGTAAACTCGGAGAGAGTGGAAGAGAAATTAGGTGACTCACCTGCGGAAGGAAACGGGGACAATACCAGCACGGTACTCGGCGATGTGGAGGAACATTGGCATGGCGAGGTCGAAGTGAGGGCAAGGAGGGTTGCACCAGCCGCCATTGTCACTAGGTAGAGCGAAATTAGGAGGGCAAAAGTTAGTGGCGGTGATGAAAATGGAAGGGTTGCCGACTTTACACCACCTCGGGTCGTCCGTACACTTAATCTCAAAGCAAGCACCACAGCTGAGCCCATTGTTGAAGAGCGCCGTGCTTAGCGCCGCCGTGTTCACACCGTAGCCTTGGCTGTAGAGATTCCCGTACCCACATGCACCGCCTGAGCCAAAAAAAGGAGGAAATTTGCAGAATGCAGGTTAAAAAAATGGTTTTCTTTTACTGCTAAACTAACAAGACAACAAAATTATATGATTAGAAACAGGAGAATACCCATTGTTCCAGAAGCATCGCTGCCGCCATAGAAAGTAGCATGGGCAGATTCCCAAGGGCCACCAGTGTAAACTCCGGGGATTTTTGCATTCGCCATAGCAAAAAAGCACATCAATGAAGCAAAGCAGATCATTCCCAAAGAAGAAGAAGCATCAGCAGCAGCCATTGTTTTTATTTTTTCAAGAAATAGACAGAACGAAAGGGTGGGTCGTTAAGTTGGGGGCGAATGGAAAGCGGGATGAAGGTGGGGGTACTTATCGAGGACTGAGGAGCTGATAGGCTGGGGGAGCATTGTAAATTATTACTCTCTATGTAAATGAAATTAGGGTATGTTTGTTTAGCTGAAATTGGTTTTTCAGAAAATGAATTACTGAAATTTGAATTACTGGAATTTGAATTACTGGAAAATGAATTACTGGAATTTGAATTCTGGAAAATGAATTATATTTCTGTAAAATGAATTACATTTCTGGAAAACATCTGGAAAACATTTTATGATGTTTGGAAGATGTTATTTAAACATTTTTTCGGTATATTTTAGTGAAATAAAATTTTATAAATTATATTAATTATTTATTAAAGTAATAGTACTATATTATATTTTAAAATATTAATTAGTATATTTTAATATCTTTACTAAAATATTATTGAAATATATAAATAATATTATTCATTATTAAATATATAAAAAAATTATTATATATTATTAAAATAAAAATATAATATCTTATATTATTATAATATAATTGATTATTTTATATAATATTAAAAATATTATATTATATTATTATAAATATTAATAAATATATTTTAAATATTTTAATAATTAATATTTTGATGAAAATGATATTAAAATATTTTATTAATATTAAATTCATAAAATAAAATTATTTTGAGTATTTTTGCTTTGAAGTGAAAAGTTCGGAAAATGACTTACGGAAAATGAATCCGTAAGTCATTTTACAGAAAACACAAAGGAAATTCTGTTACTAGGAAAATGAATTACATTCCGGAAAACGAATTACGTGAAACAAACACGGGAAAACGTTTTCCGGAAAACGAATTACGTGAAACAAACACGGGAAAACATTTTCCGGAAAACGAATTACGTGAAACAAACACGGGAATTCGGGGAAAACCAATTCCGTAATTCCAATTACGAGAAACAAACAGACCCTTAATGCACTCCATTTCTCATCAAATCAATTCTAATGAGTTTTTAAATTTAGGATAAATTACACAAATAGTCTACTGATTGTAAGATATTATTTTTTGAGTATTTCTACTATTAAAAGTTGTAAAATGGTATCACGACTATAGGATGTTGACTGTGACATGATAAAATCTAATCTTAGAACCGTTTGAGTTGTATTTTGTGGATTAACTCTTTGTTTGGATTAACTCTTTGTTTAGATTATGTCATCAAGTCAATATTTAAAATATTATATCACTGAGTCAGTGGTTGAAAGCAACAGTGGTGTCAATAGACATCATCAAAATATGATTTTATCATATCTCAATCAATAGGAACGTCTAGTTCAAACGATCGTCAAAATTTTAACAAAAATGACGAGTTTGAAACATATGAATAATTGGTGACTATGTTGAAACTTTTAATAGTGGGATACTCAACAAAATAATATTTTATAATCAAGTCATTATTTTATAACTTTTAATAGTAATTATTTTATAACTTTTAATAGTCAACAAACTAAATAAAACAATACTCTAGGAGAGTTGTTAATGCATTTTACTTTTAAATTTATTATTATATTGAATTTTATATCATTAATAATATTTAATATATTAATAATTAATTGAAATTCGGTATAGTAAAAGCTCATCGAACATGACTAGTTTTGTTCTAAGTCTAGGTCTCCGAATTGGGGAGACCATGTGGCTCACACATTGGCAGTTCTTGTTTTGATTTAGTTTTAGTCAAAGACTTCTCCAAAAATTGAAGATCTAATTGTTATAATTGGAATTGTTGCACATGCATCCTTTAATTATATAAGATACCACTACAAGGTTTAGGGCATTTGATTTCACATAAAATCGGGTTTCTTAAACATCTTTAAAATAATGTTCAATTGTTGCATAAGTCAATTATTCACGTGTGAAAATATCACATTAATAACATGTATTGACAATTAGTCAACTAATGATTTTCATTCAACAATAATTATTTTGACTAAAAATTAATACGTCAGAAGACTAAAATACTAAAAAAAATATAAAATAAAGTGACCATTTTTATAAATATTGGGTATTTTGTCATTATGCCTACAATAATAATACTAATAATTTCAGCATTTCATAACCAGTTCAAATGTAATACGACTCTAACTCATATATTAGTTTTAACTATACTCACTAATCATGTACAAAAAGTTTGTACCTTACAAACCATTTTATTCAATCATGTGTATGGTCTTGTAAATTCATATAACATTAACATTACTATTAGAATAATTTCTATATTACAAACAATGAATAACATCTAACAAATCGTAATGGATCATTAATATCTAAAATACCGGAAATCATAAATTGTATCTTCTCCTTCAATGCATCATATCAAATTTCATTCGAGAGATGCATATGTAATTACAATTGTATCTTCTCCTAGTAAAGTATCACTTGATTTGATTTGTACTAGAATTGTCTGCATCTTCACATGGCATAACGTCAATATGATGTTGTAATCTAATAATAACATTTTACTCTTCAAGTATATTATTATTTTGATCAAGACGACAAATCAAATGTTTTACTATTAACTTTGTATTAAACAATGACAAACATAACCATCTTACAATAAAAAAATTACTAAAGGTATACATAGAAAACTCTAAACCAAAAAAAGGGAGAAATTTCACTTACTTTCTGCTTTTTAATAAATAATTAATGCTATAAATATAGTCGTGTCGAAATAAATTCTGGATAAAAAACCTAAACAAAAAATATATAGTCAAACTGTAATATCAATGCTTCCATCCGATGAGCAATACGCAAAGTCAGTAGGGCAAATAAATTTAACTACCCAATTCAAGAAGAATTAATATATGCCATTTGATACATTAACGATGAATTTTGTTACTTTACAACCGGGGTTAAGAAGTCACAATAAATATTAATTATTTATATTTATCTTTTAAATTATATTTGTATGAGGTGAAACGTTTAAATAAATTCTACCCGCTCTCCTCTTTCGTTTCTCCTTTTCTTCTTTTTTAGGAATGGCAACAGGGCGGGTTCGGGGCGGGTTTTGCTCCCCCGTCCCCGTCCCCGAAATGAATCCATATCTCCACCTCGTTCCTCGTTGAGTTTTTTATTGGGGCGTCCCGTTGGGAATTTTTTCCCCGTCCCCGAACCCGACCCAAAATGTTATACCCGAACCCGACCTGATCCCGAGAAAAACCTAACAGCCGTAGTTTTCATAAAAAAAAGAAAAAATGATCACAAAAAACTGGAAAATTAGTCTACATGATTTACAATTCAAACTACAGTCACAAATTTAAAATCAATTCTAAATAATTGTCTAAACTCCAAAATAAAACACATACATAATTAAATACAAACTTGTTCCGATATTCAAATCACATCGAAGATGCATACGTAATATTAAGTCAAATAAAATCATCCATAATCGTCATGCCACTTTTGTCACTTTCTTTGGTAGCACCCTACATCGAGAAATTTATAAATAAAGCAACCAAAATATTATATATAATTTATATAAAAATATTATATATATATATATAATCGAGGCGGGGATACCTTGCCCCGAACCCAAACTCGAACACGAAAAAATCTCCTAATTTTACCCTGATACCCGACCCAGCCCAATATTATTCAAACCCGACCCGAACTTAGCCGGGTTTCGGGTTTCCCCATCGGGTTGGGATCGTTCTGTCATTCCTATTATTTTTCTTTGCTTAGAGTTTGTGCGTTTTCTATATATCAAATCAATTTTTTTCTTTGATTTTGTTTAGCCAGCGACGGCACCGATTTTAATGTTGGTTGTCGACCGCCGACTCCCTTTTTCCTTTACTTCTTTTTAGTGTTTTTAATAAGAATAATTTTTCTTTTATAGTACGTTTATCTTTATCTTTGTGGTACTTATTCCATTTTTTCCCCAGTCGTTTGGCCATTCTTTTATTTTTGTTTTCTAAGGGTTAGATTTGACTATACCACAACTGATAAAATAAGCTTATTTGAAATCTTTGATCTTCCCTGCTATGAACATCCAGATTAAATTTGGATGCACGATTTTGCGCTCGTAGATAGTTACTCACAACGATCAACTCTGATTTGCAGTTCTCTGTGGTCTTTCATTTGCTTAATTTTCTTTTGTGGTTCGTTTGCTGATGCAATCAGATTTATTCGTATATATTTTTATTCAAGTCTTTTGGTTGAGTTTTTAATCTTTTCCATGTCTAGTTCTTATATGATCTAAAGTGACTAGTTTCAATGTTATAGAAAAATGTCCAAATTATGTATTTAGTTTACGATTATAGTTGTACACTCTTATTGTAATTTTTGATATTTCCACTTTTTAATAATACTAACAACTTCTATTAAAAACAATTGCATGGGGTGATTAGAATGTAGTATTTATTTAAAACTTTTATTAATTATTGACACAACACACCATATAAATTTAATTACTCAAACTCAAGACTTCAAAGAAGAACATTCCTATATATATATATATATATATATATATATATATATATATATATATATATACATTTTATTCAATTATTTTATTTATATTATCTTGATATATCTTCTGAAAAATATTTTAACAATAAGATATATTTTCTTGTTTCTAATGGTAAAATATACTTTATTTAATTTTATTTGTCTCAATGTCTTGTGTTAAAGACGGAACTAGAATTTTAATTCAAAAGAAATAAAATATAATTAATAATAAAAAAATGAAAGATAAAAATTAAAATAAATCAAAATTTAAAAATCTAAACATGTATTTATTTCTGTATATTTTTTATAGTAAAAAAAAAGTTAGGGAGAGAGTGACAAACTATGCATAGTTTCATCACCTCTTATATTGACTGTTATTTTTTTGGATATGAATTTTTATTGATTAATTTGATATGGAAAAATTCAAATGATGTTGCACAATATATTTGTGTACATGTG